AGGAGACACCTGAAAAACTCCCCACTTTTCCCTTTTCCCCCACCAACCTGAGGAAGTTCAGACACACCCCGAGCCCTTTGTGAAGGTCTGGCTTTTCCATTAGGCTCAATCACCTCCATCTGCCCAGGAGAAGTGCCAGGAATTCCACCAAACATGGAAAACCGAGACCTTCAACATGTTGTTTTTATGCTCAGATACAACAACATCTGGTTTGGAGAGATCCCATTTAAAGAAACGTCGATGCCCCTTTAGAAAATGAGTGTTTTTTGACAAATCTCCTCCTTCCAGATTTAATAGGCAACAGATACTCTCAAATATCTTCCTGAATGTACCCCTGAATTCCAGAGAGTTTGTTTTTTTGCTGGGATTTTAGAAACTCTGCCTTTTTTCTGGTGCTCTTTAACTTTTGGAGCCAGTTAAAGAGGAGTAGATCTCTTCATGGGGTACTTCTGCAACCTTAAAAACCTGCCTAAAGCCACAAGTTCTGTTCATAAAATGACAATTCCCTCCCTTAATTCCTCGAATCCAGGTCCTGTGCTAACGTGGCCTTGTTTGGGATGAACTCACACTTCAGCTGTTTTCAAGGAGGGGGAGTCAGGGAGGATTTAAACACCTTTCTGAGGGGGAAGGATTTTGAATTTTACACCAACATACCGTGTTTTTAATTACTCTTTTCATATGAAATATTTATAATAATAGCTCGACACTAAGATTCCATATTAAATCACATTTTAACAAGTTTATTGGCTTTTTGGTGCTTAGTGAAACAGCAAGTTCCATTTCCTGGCTTTCATATATCGATGTTATCTTTAAATGCCCCTCATCACCTTAATTTCCAAGGACCTTTTCCATTCCAGCTCACTGGAGAAATGTCAAAATCTCCTCCTCCTTTTCCTTCACTGCTCCAAGTGACGTTCCCATGCCTTGTTTTGGGAATACTTTATGCAGCCACAGCTGAACCTGCAGGTGAATCAGTTCAAACAGAATTATTAATAAATTAATAAATGATAAATTTATAATATATATAATAAATTTATATAAATATATAAAAATAAATTAATAAAACAAAACTATCCCAGGATAATTTTTTGACCAGCAGTTAAAGCTCTTTTCTTTTTTTTTTCCTGAGTTTTCTCCACTGCTCATATCCCTGAAATCAAGGCTGGATTTGCATTTCCCTGTTTATACCCCTGAAATCAAGGCTGGACTTGCATTTCTCATTGCACTTCAATTCTGGCACCTTCAAGAAATTCTTCAATTTACAGAATAATTCTTCAATTTACAGAATAATTCTTCAATTTACAGGATGACACCTTCCTGAGGCGTTTTTAGCTGGCGAAAAAAGGGCTTTTTTTGCATTAGAGGCCTTTGTAAAAACAACCACTCGGCGTCACAGCACTTGAGATCTTTTCAAAACCACCTGGCAAGAAACACAAGTGTCAAAACTGAAGTCTATAAAGCTATAAATTTAAAAAAATAGGGTTTTTTCCTCCCAGTTTTCCCCAGGACAACCCTTTTTTCCCAGTGCTCTTGTCCCCATCCCGTCCCTGCTGTGTCTCCCCATGGCTGGAATTCAATCCTTTACTGACATTAAGGATTAATAAACTGCAGATCCTTAAATTAATAAATATATGTAATAAAATAAAAAATATATAATATATTATAAATATATTATAAATATATTATAAATATATTATAAATATTTATACATTTTATAAATATATATTATGATATAAATAAAAATATATAATAAAATAATAGATATAATAAAATAATATATAGTAAATATAAAATTATAAAAATATATAAAAATATATAAATATAAATATATATATATATATATATAAAAATATATTTTTATATATAAAATAAAATATATAATAAAATAATCCAGAGCATCTCAGGGCTGGGCCTTTTAATCCCAGGAGAGCCCAATAACCCCCTCAGGATTTACTCCGAGGGATTTGATGCTCCCCTTGTTCCATGGAGGCGTTTTTTGGGAGCTGGGCTCATTTTTTGGGAGCTGGGCTTGTTTTTTGGGAGCTGGGCTCTCCCAGCAATCCCATCATTAACCATTAATTAGCAAAGATTCTGCAGGAATAAACAAAAATCCCTCCCCAAGCCACTTTTCCGCAGGCCCAGCCCTGCAGGATTTGCTGCTCCAAGGGTTTGGGATGGAACAAAACCCCAGCCAAGCCCAGCTCTCCCTGTCCCGCCGCTGCCACGGACATTCCAAGGGGGAAAAAGCTGGGAAGAGATGATGAAGTTCTGGGAAAAGCTCCATTTTCATCTTTATTAGCACATTTTCCAAGGCCTGGGGAGCTTTTTAGGGATTACAGGGGATGAAGGAAGCTCTGGGAATGTTGGGATGGCGGCAGATATTCCCAAACAAAAGGCCAACGTGTGTTGCTACGATCCCAAGTCAAGCTGGTTCTTTGGATTGTTGTTGTATTTTTTTTTTCCCCAGCTCCTTTTTAGCTTTCCTTCTGTGTCCCTCTCGTGGTAACTGAGCAGAAGTGTCTCATCTGCAGTGGAATAACTTAATTCACAGCCTTCCAATCATTTTTTCCCTGCAGTTTCAGTGCCTTTTTTTCTTTCTTTTTTTTTTCTTAATAATAAAATAGATTTGCTTGAAATTTTGTCAGTATAAAAGAGAAATATTTTTTATTTAAAAAAAAAAACTAAACAAAACAAAACAACACAGGTATTTTTTTCCATTTATTACCATTCAGGTGGGGTAAAAGTTCAAGGAATTTTCATCTGAAGATTTGTTTCCAAGGCCAGGACGGGGCTTGGAGCAACCTGGGATAGTGGAAGGTGTGGAAAGGTGTGAAGGGGGTGGAAGTGGATGAGCTTTAAGGTCCTTCCAACCCAAACCATCCCAGGATCCTCTAAGTTTTAAAACACTCCGAGCTCCGGGACATGAAATAAAAAGAGATGAAATAGAGAAGCGAGAGAATCAAGATTAAATATGCAGAATAAACGTTCTAACTGCATTTCTTGCTCTATAATAATAATAAATCTTGTTGATTTATTGCTGGCCCAGCCCTTGCTCAGCTGGGGTGTTGAATGTTCCCAGAGCTCCTTCCTCCAAATCTGGGCTCTGGTCCCCCCTGATTTCCCTCTTCCACACTTTCCGCTATCCCAGGTTGCTCCAAGCCCCGCCCTGGCCTTGGAAACAAGTCTCCAAATGAAAATTCCTTAAAATTTCACCTCACCTGCACAGTGATAAATGGAAGAGGGAAGAATAACTGCGTTGGGATTTTTTTTTAAATAAAAAAAATTTATCTTCTATATCGACAAAATTTCAATCAAACTATTTTATTATTAAAAAAAAAAGCTCTGAAACTGCGGGAAAAAAAATTGGAAGGCTGAGAATTAGTTATTCCACTGCTGATTAGCTGCTACACCCGTCACTCAAAACTAAACCCCGCCTCCCGCCTGTGTGGGCGGGGACAACCCACTTCGAAGATCAATTGGCTGCCGCACCTGTCACTCGAACCAAGCCCCGCCTCCCACCTGTGTGGGCGGATCACGCCCACCCCGCCCCGCCCTCCTTCCCCACCTCGAACACCCATTGGCCGCCGCTCCCGTCACTCATCCCCAAACCCCGCCCCTCCCCCCCGCCATCTCCTTGCCAACCCACCCTCCCGCCCCGCCCCCTCCGCTCAACTCCGCCACCCATTGGCCGCCGCTCCCGTCACTCAACACCAAAACCCCGCCCCCTCCCCCCGCCGTCTCTGTGCGTGAGTGCGAGCGCGCCCCCTGCCGGCCGTTAGGGGGCGCCGCCGCCGCCGCCGCCG